GTGTAACTGACTGTGAACCAGCACTCTAAGAGTAGCAAAATTCAATTGGCCAAATCTCACTTTCTCATTCACTTCTTATTCACCCAAAAGATTAGACTATTTATTTTCTTAATCAAAAGCTAATTATCAGAGACTCCTCAATTCACAAAAGAAATGGCGACTTCATAGAAATTCAAGCTATTAGCAACACCGTATGCAATGGTAGGAAGTCCAATAAGGAGCCCAACACCAGCTCAGTAATCCACCTTCGCCGGAGAAAACTCTCCGAATGCTGCTTAGCCGTAACGAAGGTAAAGAAGGGAGAAGGTTGCCACCTCGACCTGGGGATAACTCTTCTGACGGAAAGAGAAGTGACGATAGCAATAAATCGCCGGAGAAGGGGAATGATATAGTGGTCAGCCACAAGTTCACAGACCTCTTTGCATTCTCGCCGTCGTCGTTCAAAGAGCGGATATTTGGGAATGTACGGGTACGGGTTTAGGGTATAGAATATTTCAGTTTTTGATTTTTTTGTTTTGCTTTATTTTTTTTTTTCCTTTTTTTTGGTGGAAAACGTGTTTTAAGGCCAAATAATTCCCCGTGTGTAGCAATTCGATGAAATGGCACCCCACGTGTACAGTCATGTCATAATTCCGTCCATTTATTCACGGTCCGTTAGTTTGGTGATGAACGTCGTGACAAAGTGCAATGTTTAGTGATGGTTTCGATGATTTTTAAAGTTTAATGACCCCTTTGTGAACCTTTCGTAAAGTCCATTGAGCATTTGGGCTATTATCCCTTGGGGGAAGGGAAGGGAAGGGAGGGGAGGGGAGGGGCGGGGCGGGGATTGTTATTATTATTTTTTTTGGTTATTTGGAGATTTTTTTCATTTAAATTTTTTAAATATTGCTGTTGATTCATTTATAATAAGGGTTGTTTGAGTCCCCAACTTTATAAAGCAGCAAGTTGGTCCCCAATATTTCTTTATAATTATTGAATTATATAAATCTTGCTTTATACACAAAGAGGAATCATATACATGTCATATTCCAATACACACGCGTGTGTAAAATATGCATGAGTTGAACTTATGTAGTAGGCTTGTATAGTCTAGAATTTGTTTTGAGTTGAATTTAAAATATGCTGATCTGTTCGAACAATTTTGAAGCTTGTGAAATTTTCATATTCAAGGTTTGTCAGTAAAAGCTAATAAATAGTATATTTGCATGTTTATTCGTCAAGAATGCCGATATTAATACCATTAATAAATATGAATGAATTCCATTCGTAATCATTTGCTCAATTTAGTTATTATTATTATTTTCAATGAGACCTTATAAATGATTCATTTGCTTGAGTTGCCGTGCACTCGCACAGGCACATAGGTGAACATATGTGTTGAATTGTTCACTTCTTTTTCCCTTTTTGTTAAAATACATGAAAAATCAAAGTTCTGTAACAATATCACATTTTTCAATTAATGATATTATTTTCATAGTAGTGTAAATTGTATAAAGACTATATAATCTTTATTTTAGAGT